AACAAGTTTATATGGCAGTTAAAAGCACCTCAAGTTCCTCACAACACCCTCCGAAGATCCAAAAGAAAAGGTGGAATGGCTGCTCCCGATTTACTATTATACTACAAAGCAACAACACTAGCAACACTACAGAGACAATATCATGATAACGACTCTCTAGACTGGTCCTGGATCGAAGAAACTACTTCAAATAATACCAACACGCGGGAGATGATGTGGGGAAAACAAAGCAGTTCACTATCTAAAAAATCAATAAATCCATACCTAAAGACCACACTCAGAATATGGTATCAAAATAAAGACAAATTAACCATGCCACACTCTCAACTGAGCAACAATGGTTTCAACCAGCCAAGGAACATAACACCTACCTTACCTGGAGGCTGGCAGGCATCACCAGAATAATCAATGTAGTTAGTAAAAATAAGCTTCTCACGAAACCTGAAATAGAAAAGCAACACAATATTAAGATTCATTGGTTTGAATACCTACAATTGAGGCACCTAATAGAGTCTACGGGATTTAAGCAAACAATTTCACTTCCGATTATGGACTTTGAACGTATTTTATTTAAAGGCTACAAAAAAGAAGTTTAATTTCCAAAATATACCAAATCCTACTAGAAAATTCCAACACGAAAATAATGAGCTATCAATCAGCTTGGCATTCAGACCTTAAACAAACATTTAGCAATGACCAATGGGAAACTATTTGGAAGGCTCAAAATAATATCTTGAAATCCCTAGAGATTCAAGAAGCAACAACAAAAGTGCTTCTGAGATGGTACCTGTTACCTGCAAAAATCTCCCATATAGTCCCACAAGCTTCCCCACTATGCTGGAAACTGTGTGGAAAAAGAGGTGACTATTTCCATACTTGGTGGACCTGTAAGCATATTTAAAACTTCTGGAAGTTAGTTACAAAACACGTTCAAATACTTACCGGCTATGAAATACCTCTTGACCCGAAAATCTTGCTTCTAAACCTTTGGCTAGATGAAAGCCCACCTATCATAAGGAGAAAATTATTTCACGTTTTAATAACGGCGGCAAAAGTAACAATAGCTAAAAACTGGAAAGACCGCCACCCTCCTAACATTAATCAATGGCTTAACAAAATATGGGACCTTTTTATGTTGGAAACAATTTCCATATACAATACCAATGACCAAAATGAATGTGAAATATACAATCCTTTGAGCAAATGATACCCTATATTAGAAAAAATAACATTTGACTGGGAAAGCATTACTGAAGCCAAATACAAAATAATGCTATATGGTTAAATTAGTCTTTGTTAAAAATTTTGTTAGGTATACGTATATCTTTCTTACCTTAAGAAGTTCTGTTTTTCTCTGAATGTACTCCTATTGAAAATATGTTATCATAGAACAGTTTATGTTGACTAAAATACGAGTGAAGGAACTTATGTTGATTATGTTTAATTCACTGATGACGTAATCTTGTTGGAAAAAAATAAAAATATCATTTTTTAAAAAAATGAGGTTTTGATCAAACACGCCTTTCTAGTTCTAGCTTCTAACTCAGTTCCAAGACAGGCAGCTGTCTGATTTGGATTTAGACCACTGTGCACAGGGTAAAGGGCTTTAGCCCACACCCCTGCTCTATTTCCGATTTTAAACAGCCCTACAGAGCTGCTGTCTGCAGTCCCACTGGAAAAACTTGCACATACCATTCAGTGCATGAAGGTTTCTCCAGTGGGTCAAGTAGTAGCTTCTTGGGGCCATTTCAAGGCAGGAAAACAAAGAGAGTAGAAAAGGCTGAATCCCCCTTTCCCTTTGCTCTACAATCTCAGTCCAAATTGGGACCCTGCACTCCTAGCGATTGACTTTAAAGCACAGAACTAGCAAGGCATTTTTGATCAACAGTCCTTGTGGTGGACCTGGGAAGGTGTAACAATAATGTAACATATTATTAGATGCTGTAGTCAGATACTGTGGTGGACAGAAGCAACCCGGGAAGGGACAGAGCTAGTCCTCTCCCGATGATATTCGCACAAGTAAACAATGCAGGCGTAAACATGTGAAAAGTAGAGTCTGTGTTTTCATTCGTTCCTCACTTTTAACTCCTCTTTGTATGAACAGTATGAGTTTTTAAAGAGGATTAACAACATATACTGCATTTAAGAGAACTTAAAAGTAATTAAAGCAAAAATGGCCCTTACCTGGATCTTGTCAGATGTTGGAAGCTAAGCAGGATTGGCCCTGGTCAGTATTTGGATGGACTTTTTGTTGTATATCCATACTGCCTGGGTAAATGGATAATCATATTCCAAGTGTGCTCAGTCATTTCAAATGCAATAATGAAATTGTGACCTTTGAAAATTGTCTGATGTTTTGGCAAAGGTAATTGTTGTTCTCTGGCCCTGTTCACACGAGGGGTTTTGGGCCAGGAGAGGGACGGATCGGGGCCGCAGCAAACGGGCGCGATCCCACAGCAACATCTGGCAATCGTGCTGCGCCCGTCCCCATTCCATCCCTTCTGCCGAAAAACGCACCAAAAAAGAACCACCTAACCGGGTGGTTCAATCGAAAGGGCCGTGGCAACTGCGGCCGCAGGATCGCCGGCGCATCCCTGGCCCCCAGCCAAACTGCGCAAGCACGAGCATGCGCAGTTCGGCAGCCTCTCCCTCCCACTCGTCTCTTCCTCCCCGGCATCTGATCGTGCCGGGGAGCAACGACGCACAGCTCACGGGATCCGGGGGAACCCGCCCGCAGCGTCTCTATTTTGGTGCGGCTCTAATTAGCCGCACTTTCACCGGTGTTTTCCCTGCCGTGTGGCAGGGGCCTCTGTATGCCATATGGGTACCTTTGCCAAAACATCAGACAATTTTCATTGGTCACAATCTACCAATGATTTTGCTTTGTAAAAAACTTGTTGAACTGAGTTGACTATCCTGATACACTTTGCATATTATTTTCTAGGGCAAACTAAATTGGCTCATGGGAATACTTCACCACTCCAGAGTAGAACGAAGTCTGAGTCCAGTGGCACCTTTAAGACCAACAACGTTTCATTCAAGGTATGAGCATTCATGTGCACAGGCGCACGAAAGCTCATGCGTTGAATGAAACTTTGTTGGTCTCAAAGGTGCGACTGGACTCAAAACTTTGTTCTACTGCAGAGCAACACGGCTGCCCACCTGGATCTCACTTCAGAGCAGCTAAATTCCAAAGTGAAACCAACAGTAGCAAAGCTGTCTACATTTCACTGTATCACATCTGAAGCATTTTAACATCATAACCACATAACAATGGCAAATGACACAAACAAAAAAATTCAAAAAGCATAGCAGTAATATTGAAAGGCTTTCTGAAAGCTCTGAATATTATACATTTATGCCCTGAAGCAGAAAAGAATATATGACCTTGCTGAGGTTTACTCCCTTTGTGTATATATTCTACTCACAAAAAAAAAAATACCTTCATTGACTTCATGCAGTTAGAGAGTATATTCTACAATGCTAGTAAAAATGCAGGCTACATAAATGCACGTGCCCTATTAATTTTCAGGGAAAACCTTCTTCTACTACATATAAATCATATATCACAAACATGCTTCTAAATCATCAAATATACAAACTGAACTCCAGTAATGAAGCTTCATCACGCTTTGCATTCCCACATTGCCCCCTCTTAACTTCTGTCACATCTTGGCTACATTTAATTTCCTTGTTTGAGTTTGGAATTTGCTACTTTGAAGTTTCCCTAGTCTAGGCCTTATGATTGGGTGTCAAAGCCTGCTCAGGAACAAGCCACAAAACAGTCTTTTTGCAACAGCTACCCGGAACTTAATTTCCAGATGCAAAAAATTAATCATACAACCAAACAATGAAAGCTGACCACAAGTAGGACAATTCCCTTTCCAGTCCTCATCTATCTCCTACTACTGTTGTTGCCTTTTCTTTCATAAGCATCTAGTACGTGGCTCTCACATATGTAAAGTAAAGGTAAAGGTTCCCTTGCTCGAAAGCCAGTCGAATCCAACTCTAGGGTTGCGGTGCTCATCTCCGTTTCAAAGCCGAAGAGCCAGCGCTGTCCGAAGACGTTTCCGTGGTCATGTGGCCGGCATGACTAAACACCAAGGCGCACAGAACGCTGTTACCTTCTCACCGAAGTGGTACCTATTTATCTATTTGCAATTTCTTGCTTTCGAACTGCTAGGTTGGCAGGAGCTGGAACTAGAGACGGGAGCTCACTCTGTCATGCGGCATATTCAGGTCTCGAACTGCTGAACTAGTGACCTTCCACAGCCTGCAGTTCAGTGTCTTAACCACTTGAGCCACCGCAGCTCCCTCACATATGTACCGAAGCCTTAATAGTAATTCCATAGACATCTTATCATGACCATATTTATGTACTTCCCATTTCCTAAAAATGAGAGATCGAAAGACAGTGCTTACATATTTTGATTTCCTTTGTGTGAAAAAACACTGGAGACTTACAGGGTGCGGTCAGACGGCGTGCTGAGAGTGCGTTAAACTGTTCTAACCAGATTATATTTGATCTGGATAATCGCTATCACACTTACCTCCCTTACCCCATCTCACCTCGCAGTTACGTCGCTCCCTGGTGTCTACACTACCGATGCGCGGGAGCATGTGTCGGCGGGTTCCCCCCCTCATTTTGCGCATGTGCATAAGTGCAGGGGGTGAAACTACCATGGCGCATGTGCAGAACCACCAGGGCAAATCAATCCAACCCCTCCAACAAAATGATGTATACAAAATCGGCACGTTGCAGCAATTTTGCTATGTTCATATTTAGGAATGGTTTGTACTATAGATTATGGGTGTGTACACAGTTTCATTTTTAAAAAATAACATCCTGATTATTTGTGACTATATCAGGAACAACCAACTGTAATTCCCCCCCCCCCCGATGGCTCTAAACAGCAATTGTTCTCCTGGACTAAGACCAACCAGAGATATTTATTGCCGAGTGGGGATTTGAACCTGTTTGGTCCTGTTATTTTAGCAATATGTCCAACTTTTCACTTTCAGGAAACTCTTTCTACATCAGCTCATCTGCTGATGAAATGCTGTACATCTGCCATGGAGCCCAGTGTGTGGAGGTGACTTCGTGGCATTACCTCAGGCTCAGGTGTTAACTGTGCATTGCTAGTATGGAAATGCTCAGTGTGGCTTGTCCCCCATTACCAGTCTTTATTTTAAGAAACTTCTCATTAAAATGAAAGCTTGACGGTCTACTAGTCAAAAAAGCCTTCCACTATCATGGATCTAAAAGTGAATATGGAAAATCCCATTCTCCCTATGTCAGAATTCCTTATTAATGGCAGTGCAATTAAAAAAAAAAGTCCAAACACAGAGATGAGATAGAAGGTTGAGTATACCTCTGTCACCCAGAATATTGTTGCCATAACCTTTTAGCCTCTATTTTGTTGGCATTAGTCTTTTTACTCCTTGGCAAGTGCACCTGTTCTGCCAAACTAGGAAAATTCTGGCCAGCTCTTGTCTGTCTACTATCCTTATACAGTGCTGAAGCACACTTCTGTCCTCATTATTTAGGGAAAAAGTAGAGCCACGACATTTTCTATTCCCTGCTTTTACAGCATAGATAATATTTACAAAACTCCCTTTATGGCACATGGATGCAGGCAACCCCTCTGCCCTCAATCCAATATCACCTCATGCACAGAACAGATTGTATGGCATTATCGGGATTTCACAAAAATGTGGCTGGAGTATAGAGTCAAGTGAATAGGTTTTATGTCATGCAAGTTAGCAGAGTAGAGCTGCCATGTCCCCTCTGGCTACTGGCAGAGGATGGGGGGTAGGCTTGCCAGATCCAGGTTGGAAAGCTTCTAGAGAGTTGGGGATGGAGCCTGGAAAGGATAGGAACCTCAGTGGAGCTCAGGGCCACAGAGTCTACCCTCCAAAGCATCCAACTTCTCTAGAGAAATTGATCTCTGTAGTCTGGAGATGAGCTGTAATTCTGGTGGATCCCCAGGTCCCACCTGGAGGCTGGCATCCCTAGTGCAAAGCATTTGACAACACTTTGTGACACAGAGTGTTGGACTGGATGGGCCTTTGGCCTGATCCAACATTGGCATCTCTTATGTTATTATGTTTATCATTTAATGCATTTTACCTAAAAAAAAAACTCAGGGCAATATATAGTTTTGTCCTCCTCCATATGATCCTCACAAAAGCTCTATGAGTTAGACTGAGCTGTGGGAGAATGATTGGTTATCCAACAAGCCACATGGGAGAATGGGGATTTGAAACCCAGGCTGTGGTCACACACACTGAATAATCCACTTTCAATCCACTTTCCAAATGGGTTTGCCAGTTCACACGGTAAAATCCAGTTGGAAAATACATTGAAAGTTGATTGAAAGTAGATTATTTAGTGAATGAATGAATTTATTGTAACAGCGATTAGCCAGCAATAGATTATTTAGTGTGTGACCACCCACGCCCCCTCTAAGCTGTGGACTCTTGCGAGCAAAAACTCTACTTTGTAAGCTGATGGCATTAAAGTTGTGAGCGAGCAATTTGGCTGCTGCATAAATTAGTTTGCTCTGGAGCCCGCCTTCCTAAGCTAAGACAAAAATGTGTGGGCCGGGGGGGCTAAAAAACTGTGAGCTAGCTCACACCAACTCAGCTTAGAGGAAACACTGGTGACCACAACCCCAGTCTTCTTTGTCCTAGTTCAATAGTCACCACTAAACCACCATTGATCTATGTTAGATTTATGATCTGTTTGGATAATATTTCAACCATATCAAGGAGTTCAAGGCCTGAACTCCATGGGTCATCAGGGCAGTTGCACACAAGTAACTAGACTGTTTATTTTAAGAAAGAATGATAAAGTTTATTTCAATATCAATTTCCAACACACTACTCTAAAATCATGCAGCAAAAAAATAAGAAAAACTAGCTCAACTAACACTCTTAGGGCTTGCATTAAACAGCACCAACCTTAAATTCCAAAGTCAACGGCCAGAGCACAGGCCTTGTCTCCAATGCCAGCGATTGCAATACAAGCAGATCATAGTTCAGGCCTTTATAAAGTCCATGAGGATCTCAGATAGTCTCTCTTCTTTTGGGCCCTAGCTGATTTATAGTTTTCAGCCCAGCAACATCAGGTAAGGATAATATCCAATCAGGACACATTCTCAGGAGATAAGTTTACCTTATTACCCTTTCCCCATCTCCCTCTACCCAACAGGCTGCAGGTTCTCCTGAGAAGCTAATCACCGCCACTTCCATCTCTGGCTTTGAAGATGATAAGGCCAAGAGACCAATTAGCAACACCTGCAAGATGTACTAGGCAGTTACTATTCATATTAACCCTTGAGAGGGAGGCTAGGGTTGTGGTCACACACACTAAACAATTCACTTTCCAACTGGATTTTGCCAGTTCACACAGTCAAATCCAGCTAGAAGGTGGATTCTTTGGTGTGTGTGACTGCAGCCTAGGGGTGCTTTGCCTCACAAACTGGTTATATCTTTTTAAAATTGTCATATTTTGTGTTTTGATTAATTAGATTTTGTGTGTATATGTAGAAAAAATGAATAAAACAAAAACTTCATGCTCATATGAAGAACACTGTTCTATGTACTTAATTTTGTTCCTTTCTACACTTCCCTAAAAACTACACATTAATACTTATTTTTAGCTGGAGGAGCACGTAGTAATGTGAAACAGAAGAAACACTTCAGGAACACATGTAGGAATAAGGTCCACTAAGCAGCCCTGTTTAGGACTGCTCTCTCAAAAGTCTCTTAATGCCAGATTCAACTTCAAAGCCGTTTGTCGGACTCCTGCAGATAGAACATTTTCGTTTTCAAATCTTTTCTGATAACAACAGTGAGAAAGAAAAGAGGAAGCCGTTTAGGGCTATTGGTAAAAATTATGTGCAATCTAGAGAATATTTCGTGGTGTTTTTTCTGGGGATCCGACTATGGAAGAACTTGAAAGCCTCGCCAGCTGGGGGAGGAGGGTGCCTCGAACAAGCAACTAGTTAGTCGTCAAGATTCCTCCTTGTTACTAATTCATCAGGTAGTACCTCCATCCGATGTATTTTGCTGGCTGATCGTGTCCCTGTTTACTAAGTAACTGCACCCGTCTTAAGCATGTTTCCTCGGAAGTTCTACTGATGAAGCTCCCTGTCGCCCACGGGATTTAAATTCCACTATGACAGGGGTCTTCGGCAGGGCAACGTGGGACACAATTTTGAAATCTTATTTCTGTCGTCTCGTCACCAAATTGCAGTTTCCATCGGAAGGAGCGTGCATTTAAGTTCCGCGGCTACGCGTTTTAAGTGTATATGGCTGTTTAGCAAGTCCTGAGCCAGCCATCAACTCCCATCCACAGACCTGGACTCGAACTTGGTCTTTCTGCGCCTGCTTCACACCAGCACGGCTCCCCACCATAACAGATCAGGAGAGCTTCGGTTCAGGAGGGGATCTCCAAAGCTGGAATAAAAATCATCGGGCGCTCCGAGACCTCGGTTTACCCTTACTGCCACAAACACAACACGGCTAGTCGTCTAGGATTTGCACATCTATCAGCTCCCTTACCCCTGCGGAGATCAGTGCCCCAAATACCGTGGAAATCACACTGGGTTAGAGTGCTAAAAGGGTATCGTCTCGGGTCCGTAAACAGCGTTTCCTCGCATTAATGAGGAGCGAATGATGGGTAGTGTGTCCCCATTTCTCACAGGGGAAATCCGTCTCAAAGGGGTTTCCTTTCGGGAAATGAGGCAGAACATTTTAATTCAACCTAAATACAGCGCTTAACTTTAGTACACTTTGTTTTTGCTGTAAAAGAGCTTTACAATAGGAGTCTACCTGCCTTAAGTCTCTCTAATAATGAACAACCCAACCTGGGAGCGACCAAAAAAAAAAAGAAAGAAAGAAAGCCAACGGCTATGTCTCCCCTCATTGGCAGGAGTCAAGGAAGGGGGGGGGGAACCTCCCGAAGAGCGCTACAAGTCAGAGTCAGTTAAAAATTGAACATTCCCACCGGCTTTCTGATTGGGTCTTTTCTCTGAGTACGTAACTTCACTTAAACCAATAAGGAGACTCCCCGCTCGTATTTTTAAAAAATCTTCGTGCTATAAATCGCTCCTTGCGCTTGGTGAACCCGAAGTAGTCCCTATAGTCTACTTTAACAAACTGCTTTTTCTCATTCGTGAGAGCTGGTTGTATCCAGCAGATGAAATTTAAAAAGGGTAGGAGTTGTTTGTCCTTAAAGGGGCCGCTGACTTGAGCACAGCTCGCAAAGTTTTATGTGGCGAATTTGGCGGAGGGATACTGAGTGATAGGACACGGACGTTCTTCTGTAACGTAGACAGAGCGGCGATTTGAATTAGTGAGTTGAGCGACTGCGCGCGCGGTTAGGAACTTGGTCAGCGCTGCCTAAGACGAGGGAACGGAATCCTGCATGCCCCAGGCTCGGCGGTCCGGTCCGTGAAGTGGCCGCGGGTACAGGTAAGGGACATCAGCATGTGTCGTGAGTTGCGAGTCGGGCACCTTGTTATTGCCGTAGGGCAGCGTTGGTGAACCTACAGCACGCGTGCCAAGCCCTCTCTGTGGGCACGCGCGCCGTCGCCCAGCACAGATCACCCCCCCCCCCGTGCCGCTTTTCTCTGCAGGCAGAAAAAGATATCTAGAGAGGCATGCCCCCCCGGCCCCCCCCCCCACCTTTCTCTGCCGGTGCACTGAAGCGCGCGAGCAGAGAAAGTTCTCCAGAGAGCCCCGGCCGCCGCCGCTGCTGAGGAGCGCCGGCAGAGAAAGTTCCCCGGAGGGCCGCCCCCGAGGCGCGCAGAGAAAGTCCTCCAGAGAGCCCTCCCCTCCCTGCTCGCCCCCCTGCCTGCCCCCCTGCTTTCTTGTTTCTCTCTCTCTTCCTCCCCCTTCCTTCCTCCCCATCTCTCTCTCACTCCCTCTTTCTTTCTCTCTTTCTTTCCCATTCTTTGCCATCTTCCCCTTCCACCCCATCTCTTTCCCCCTTTCTTTTCTTCTTTCCCAAAGTTTTTTGCCTTCTTTCCCTCCCTCCCTCTTTTCCTTCCTTCCTTGCTCCCCATCTCTCGCTCTCTCTTTCTGTCTCTCTCTTTCTCACTTTTATTTTCTCTCTCACTTTCTGTCTTTCTCGCCAGCTTGCCATACTTCCCCTGATGTCAGGGTGTGTGTGCAGAAAAGGGCAACTTGAATGATAAAAGGGGTGGAACACTCCCCATGAAGAAAGGTTAAAGCGCTTGGGGCCCTTTAGCTTGGAGAAACGAGGCCTGAAGGGCGACATGATTGAGGTTTATAAGATTATGCATGGGACAGAGCAGGCTGAGAAAGAGGTACTTTTCTCCCTTTCTCACAATACAAGAACTCATGGGCACTCAATGAAATTGCTGAGCAGTCAGGTTAGAATTGGCCACTGTGTGACACAGTGTTAGACTGGATGGGCCACTGGCCTGATCCAACATTGGCTTCTCTGATGTTCTTATGTGATGCTCTGTCTTCTTGGTGCTTGGGGGAGAAACAGTGGGAGGGCTTCTGGAGTCCTGGCCCCGCTGGTGGACCTCCTGGTGCCCCCTGGGTTTTGGGCCACTGTGTGACAGAGTGTTAGACTGGATTGGCCACTGGCCTGATCTAATGTTCTTATGAGAATAGGGCCAGGGCTTTCTCTGTAAATGTGTCTCTCTGCATGGTGTGAAGGTGGCTCTCCTCTTTTGAGCTCTTAAAACAGATGAAAATGCTCTCTTTTGGGGTTGGAAGATAAGGAATATTCCTTGTGAGTAGCAGTGATCTGGGATTGTCAGGGGGAACTTTGTATTGGCTGCTATCCATAGGAACCAACCTAGGCTCCTGCTAATGGGAAAATGAGAGCTTGTATGGATGATCGAGGTCTGCAGGCCTCCTGTGCATGGGAAATGTGCATGCATACAACAGCAAAAATCACATTAATTGTTCAAAAGCATGCCAAATGCAAACTGTTACCTTTCAATAAAAAGTTGTTTGTATCATTGAAAGCTCTGTTATTGTTTTTCTTTTAAGACAAAAGATGTTAATGTATGAGTTGCTTTTTCTAAACTAAAACCTCAGTATTCAGGTTAAATTGCCATGTAGGCACTTTGCGATACATAAGTGGGTTTTGGGTTGCAGTTTGGGCACTCGGTCTCTAAAAGGTTTGCCATCACTGGTATAGGAAGATCTGGTGGGCTTCTGCACAGAAGGGCAGTATGTCAGTGGGAGCAGCCAAGTTAGTCTGTGGCAGCAAAAATAAACAAGAGCCTTATGGCCCCTTGAAAACTTACTGGATTCTATTAGGAGTCCTCCTCATTAGCCTACCCAGGCAGGATAACTGGATGGTGAATGCGCTGAGTGGGGAGGGCTGTCGAAAGCCATAGTCTGGATTTCTGGGGAATAGAAAACACCACAAGGTTGCTTTGCGGGATGTTTCACTGGGTGGAAATTCCGGCGGGGACTCTGTTATCGGGTATGGTAGCATGGAAAGGTTCCAGCCAATGGAACGCGAATTCTCAGATCCGGTGTCTTTCTGGTAAAGGACTTCCCAAACGTGTGGATGCTTCTGTAGATGATGGTTAACTTGGGCTTTGAGCTAGAAGAGGAGGAGGAGGAGGAGATTGGATTTATACCCCGCCCTTCACTACCCAAAGATGTCTCAGAGTGCCTTACAAACTCCTTTCCCTTCCCCTCCCCACAACAGACACCCTGTGAGGTAGGTGGGGCTGAGAGAACTCTTGACAGAAACTGCTCTTTTTCAAGAACAGCTGTGCCAGAGTTACTGCTTGCCCAAGGTCATCTAGCCAGGTGCAAGTGGAGGAGTGGGGAATCAAACCCAGTTCTCCCAGATTAGAGTCCGCGCACTTAACCACTACACCAAACTGGCTCAGAAGGGAGACTGGATAAATGAGTTCGGAAACCTCAGTGATGTCACTTTCTCAATGTTGAAGTTATGTAGAAGTGGAATTCTGTGCATATCTAGGTAGAAAATAAGTTTCATTTGAACTCAGGCCTTGAGCGAATGTGCATAGAACTGCAGCTTGATTCTGTTCCACCCTGTGTTGATCTGTAAGAGTCATTTTAAATTTTGATGCTGTTGTGCATGGCTAACACTAATGCATGGGGGAAAGGAAGTGGCACCTGTTTTCTGGGTATAAGCTTTCATGTGCATCTTTCTCTCTGTGTGCAAACTGACCCGTGGGAGGAGAGGGGTCTGACTGCTAACAACCTCTTTGTAGTATTGGGTTAACAAGTGGCTTTAAAATGGTTCAGTTTGGGAATCCTATGGATTTCAGTCTTTTAAAATAGTGCTTAAAGTTGGGGTTTCTATATTCCAAAAGATTGTGACTTGTTAAATTGGCTTGAAGTATATATATTTTTTGTTAATTAAAATATTTGTACTGTACTTCTCTTTCTCATTCATGGTGGCTTACCAGTAGTAGTTAAAGCATATCATATCAGATTAAAACAAAATAAAACTTAACTTCCCCTGCTGTTCATATCCCATCAAAAGCCCTGTCAAACATGCTTTCCTGTTCTTACTGAAGATCTTTAACAAGAAGGCTCCCCACATCTCTTTGGGGAGCCGATTCCACAGAAAAGGGGCTGTTATGAAAAAGACCCAGACTGCTGATGCCAGGTGGGCCACCAGATGGCCGTGGTTGGCACCAATTCTCCCTCTCTAAGCTGTGGAGTCTTATGAGCAAAAATTGTACTTTGTGAGGTATTGGCTTTAGTCATGAGTGAGCGATTTGGCTATTGCATAAATTAGTTTGCTCTGGAGCCATCCCTTCTGAGCTAAGACAAAAACTTGTGAGTCAGAGGCTAAAAAACTGAGCTAGCTCACACTAACTCATCTTAAAGGGAATACCGGTTGGCATATGAGAACATATATGAGGAGGCAGTCCAGTTCATAGAGGGCTCTAAAGTCATAGCCAGCACTGTGACTTAAACTTGGAAACAAATCAGCAGCCAGTGTAGGTATTTCAAAGTGGGCAGTATATTGTCCCATCAATTAGCCCCTGGCAATAATTGGTCTGCCACATTCTGAACCAGCTGCAGTTCCTAGATTGTTTTCAAGGGCAGCCCAGTATAGATCACGTTACTGTAATCCAGCAGTGAGATTACAACATATGGATCCACATGGTCTGATTGACTGAGTCTAAGAAAAGAAAGAGCTGGTGACCCAGCTGTAGTTGATAAAAGGCATTCTCACAACCTGCTTTACAGACAGCATGGTTCGGTTCTTAAGCACCCTCACTCTTAACCTACTCTGCAATAGTCAGCTCCCCCCTATCCAAGAACAAATAAATTCAGTACCTGTAGAACAGTGGTTCCCAAGGTGGATGATACTGCCCCCTGGGGGGCAGTGTGATTACACAGATAGTGCCAAGAATTAGGGTGTTGCTGTAGGTGGCCCCTTCGACTGAGTTGTTCACTTACATGCGAGGGCACCATGCTGGCAAATGGTACTCCCAAGTTTGTGGGTATATTTTTGGCAAAAAGTATTTTTTTTAAATACAAACCTATATAAAAATATAATGTTACCTTTTTTGCAGAATTGCTGCAGTAAAATGAAAGAAAAATAATAACAATATTAAAAGGAGGCACACACTGGCAGTGTGTCCTTTAAATTAAACCATTATTCCTCCTCCTCATTATTATTGTTGTTGCTGTCTTTCAGGACCTTTATACCATTTACTTGTCAAACATTCAGTGTATTATCCAGTATCAATATATAGTTTTTTGTATTTTCACACATAGAAATGCATATTCCCAAGCAAGCATTATTCTGTGGGTGAATGAATTTTATAACTTTTAACCAGGTAGCAATTTCATACATTGGTTTTCCTGAAAATATACCAACCCCCCTATATTTCTATGTACATAGAGTAATTTGTCCTCTGATTACTGCTATTTTGAATAATACTTTTTATAGGGTAGAGTAAGGGCCACTGGGGATGAGTTTATGGAACCAAGGAGGCAGTGTTTTGAAAAAGTTTGGGAATCACTGCTTTAGAACATTAGCCTTCCTGGTGGGCATTATCTTTCATCTGAATTCAGGTTCAGCCTGTCCTGCCTTGGCCACCTAACCATACTTCTAAAGCACTGGTTTATTCAAAATATTTATATTTTGCATTAATATTTATTTTATTTATGTTTATAGTCCGCCTTTCTCACAGGGTCTCAAGGCAGATGCACAGTGAAGTCAAGAGGGTCAGCAAAGCAGTAAAGTTGTAAATAAATTAATATTCTGAAATGGGTTACAGAAATGTACGTTTATATACGAGTTTTTGTGAATATATTGCATCTTCAAAAAGTTATAACCCTTGGTGTATTGTCTAATAGATTTTCCGTGGTGAAGAGATGATGTGTTCAGATCTTAACTCTGATCTTTCCTCACAGGTAATATCTCCAAATGCAAAGATGCCACTTTTTGGAAAAGTTGTTGTTATTAAAAGAAATGGGACTGATGGAACTCATTTTCCACTGACTGTAAATTCTTGTACTTTTGGAAGGTAAGATTTATTGGTGTTAGGAATATAATTTGCTATGCTTGGCATTTCATTGAAGTTTTTTACCTTTTGTGAACAGCAGAAGTTCAGAGCAGCCCCATACCCAGAAAATTTCGTTGGGGGCCCCCAAGGGGGCAGTTCAGTACTGGGGAACTGACTACATCACAGGGTTGTTAGGGAAATATAGAGGAGGAGAGACATGTCTAGGTAAGAGTTGACAGGTAAAAAACACCTGGGAAAGTTGTGAAATAATAAAGAAAGGTCATGATTTGTGTCTGGGAGTTGTATTCTATCTGAAGTGCTGTGCATTGCTCCAGAATCAAAGCCTACCCCCAGAAGATCCTAGATGTCTGGCAAGCGTTACTGAAGGAGCTGGGAGAGCCCCTCAAAGTTTTGCAAATGCAACCTGGTTCAGTTGGCTAGCTAACAGCAGCAAGACAATAACCCCCTGAGCAGCCCCTTACCCCTGGTGCCAAAGGGCTATTCTCCTCACATCTCTTTCCTACACCCCTCTCCACCTTTGCAGGCAATCCAAGAGGAGAGCAAAGACAGCTCACGAAGCGGCTGAGGTGTTACAGTCGCACTGGCAACAAGCCAAGCGTGGGCTTAGATGTGCTTCCCTTCCCCAACAAGCCAGTCGGGCAGTCATAGGCACCCCTGTGTGTATGGGCCTGGTTCAGAGAAGTGTGAGCAACAAATTCTCAAGCACTTACCTAACCCACATCCTTTCACAAGTCCAGTTTTTCACAATGATGAACACTGGTGTTTCTTGCAAGCTGGCAGGAAAGCAACTTCATAATTGTTACATGTGTCTTCTAAATTTAATCCTTAAGTTTGTAACCCTTTGTAGGTTTTAGATTTTTGAGGGATGCAGGTATTGCTTCTACAAACGGAGATAGTAGCTGTCACATGTTATTATTATTAGGAAGGGTATTAGGGATTATTAGGAAGGGTATTGAAACCAGATCAGCCAATATCATAATGCCCCTATATAAATCAATGGTGCGACCTCATTTGGAATACTGTGTGCAATTCTGGTCGCCACACCTTAAAAAGGATATTATAGCTTTGGAAAAAGTGCAGAAAAGGGCAACTCGAATGATAAAAGGGTTGGAACACTTTCCCTATGAGGAAAGGTTAAGGCATGTAGGGCTCTTTAGCTTGGAGAAACGACGACTGAGGGGTGACATGATTGAGGTTTATAAGACTATGCATGGGAAAGAGCAGGTAGAGAAAGAGGTACTTTTCTCCCTTTCTCACAATACAAGAACTCGTGGGCACTCCATGAAATTGCTGAGCGGTCGGGTTAGAACGGATAAAAGGAAGTACTTCTTCACCCAAAGAGTGATTAACACTTGGAATTCACTGCCACAGGAAGTGGTGGCGGCTACAAGCATGGACGGCTTCAAAAGGGAATTAGATAAGCATATGGAGCAGAGGTCCATCAGTGGCTATTAGCCACAAGGTATAGATAGGGACTCTGGGGCAAGTGATGCTTTGTCATCTTGGTGCTTGGGGGGGTCAACAGTGGGAGGGCTTCTAATGTCCTGGCCCCACTGGTGGACCTCCTGATGGCACTGGTATTTCTGGCCACTGTGTGACACAAGAGTGTTGGACTGGATGGGCCTTTGGCCTGATCCAACATTGGCATCTCTTATGTTCTTATGTTACTATCAAGAGATAGTAACTCTCAAATGTCGAGAGCCCATGTAAAAGATGTTTGTGATTGAATTAAAATCCCGGTGAACTCGTGAGGCTGAGGTATACTAGTTACACTATATTCAGAAATTGTAGAAGAAATATAATTTATGATGTCGCTTGAGTTTCTATGGCATTTGTTTATTTCACAGCATGCAATTATTCATTGCTTGCCTATCTCACTGAGATTCAAGGCAGATCACACAATATAAACTATAGTATATAATCAGACAGTATAAGACATCCAAAAACAATGCAATAAGGCTAGGGTTACAAAGTTAGAAAAAGAATCCAAAAAGAAAAGGCTATTATACATGAAATATAGAGAATGCAGAAAATTGAAACAGAAAAGTAGAAGGCAATGCAATAAGAGCAGGATAAACCATACTGTGAGCATTACAGTAGACTACGATCCTTTTCTTTTTATAAAGTGTTCTCCTGAATCATACCTATATAGTGCAGTTCTGTTCCCTTTCTAAGAATGCCCTCCTGTTTTACACAGCCTGTAAAATAATAGAAGTGTGGAAGCCTTCTTGGCCTCCTGAGACACAACAGAGAAAGCAGGTGTACAGGGCACTTAAAACCATTTGTGTGGTGGCACTTTCAGGAGGATTTACTCAAATGAGTGCAGCTGTCATGGCAGAGCATAGCAGAAGAGGCAGTCCTGCAGTTAAGTGACTCCAAGTCCATGCAGGAGTTTGTAGATGATAACCAATACTTTGTATTAAGCTAAGTAATTTGCTGTTGTCTTTGCTAAGCATGTGTAGGAAATGCTGGTAGTTGAGAATTGTTTTCAGCTAAAGAACTGTATGTAAGTAAGCACTGACCTACCTGTGAAATCCCCCCATCTCACTCCCCACCCCCTCTAAAGATGCCACTTTTTTGGAGAGGCTCATTGTTGTTATAGGAGGATCTTGGAGATCCAGGTTCAAGTCTCCACTCTTGTTGGGTGACCTAGGGGCAGTCACAAACACTCAGTTTAACAACTTCAGAGGGTTGTTGTGAGAACAGAATGGGGAAGACGAGAACATTGTAAACTACTTTGGGTGCATTTGGAAGAAAGATGGGGTAATTTTTTTAAAAAAAATTGAAATAATTTTTGCTGCATGCCAATTAAGTGACTAAGTACCTAACATATTTGTCCCTCAGATCTGTGCATAACTAGCGAGCTTGAACTGGAAAGCTTATCAAGAGCAATTAGTGAGAAAGAGAATGTTGGTTTTATGTTTTCGATGCTGTAAGCAGATAGTCTGGATATGGCTTGCTTCTTTTCTCCAGGGTCGGGGACAAAGGGTGGTGCTAGGGGAACAGCAGTCCAGGAGACATCCGCTTGAATGCAGTGTGCCTCAGGGGGTGGTGCTTTCCCCGCTGTTATTTAACATCTACATGTGCCCCCTTGCCCAGATTGCCCGGTTTGGGCTGGGATGTCACAAGTACGCTGATGACACCCAGCTCTATCTGATGTTGGGTGGCCGCTCAGACTCCAGCCTGGAAGATCTGGACCGGGCATTGCAAGCCGAGGCTAGTTGGCTTAGACTGAGCCAGCTGAAACTAAACCCGACGAAGACAGAGATCCTGTGCCCGAGTCGAGGTGGTCTGGGGATGGGGATCCCACTCCCAGCCTTTGACGGGGCACCTCTGGTTTCAGCGCTGGAGGAGAGGAGTTTGGGAGTGCTCCTGGATTCCTCCTTAACTATGGAGGTCCAGGTGGCAGCCACTGCTAAATCGGCCTTTTACCATCTTCGGCTGATTCGGCAGTTGGTCCCCTTGCTCGACCACGACGACTTGGCTACAGTGATCCATGCAATGGTCACCTTGAGATTAGATTACCGTAGCGTTCTTTACATGGGGCTGCCCTTGTTGCAAATTCGGAAATTGCAGCTCGTGCAGAATGCCGCGGCCGGGCTGTTGATGAACCTCCCTAGATGGGAGCCCATGTGCCTCCCTGAAGGAAATCAAGTTTACAAACTGAGACAAGGCTAATATTCTGATGAAAGCAATTGGTTCCTTTTATTTCCTAACTCTAGTTCACATACATACGTAAAAACAGATACACACACACACACACACAAGCAAGTTCCTCAGTTGTTACAGAAATAGCAAATAGTTATATTTAAGCTAAAGGTATGGGGAAAGGAATAGCATATACTTATCTGATCAGAGGCTTGATCTTCCCAACGAAGAACAGGTGAAATAAACAGGCTAACTAGGACTCTATACTATTGGTTATTTAATAATGACGTGCCTAAGTATGAGGAGGGGGCAATGTGAAATCTAAACCTTTAACTCAAGAGGGGCATCTGGTCCAAAGGGGTGAAGAGGGTGCCCAGGCAACCTTTGATGTGCATAGCGATGTGACTTGGTCTCCTGCCATAAAACAACCATAAAACAGGAAACTGTCTTTTTGGATGCAAACCAGATACCAGGGTTACGTGTTTACCAAAAGTTCATCAATGGTGGATATACCCATGCCAGTTGTTGTTTTGTGGGCTGCTAGCAATGGCGATTGCTTCTTCTTGTCTGTGTGTCAGCCTCCATTTGCATAAACAGCACGTCAGGAGCTTTGCAGGACACAGCATTTCAAAGCAAGCAGCGTCTTCCCAAGCCATAGGAACTCACCACCACTCTAAGCTGAGTTATTGTGAGCTAGCTCACAGTTTTTTAGCCTCCGGCTCACACATTTTTCTCTTAGCTCAGGAAGGAGGGCTCCAGAGCAAACTCATTTATGCAGTAGCCAAATCGCTCGCTCACCGCTTTAATGCCAGTAGCTCACAAAGTAGAATTTTTGCTCACAGGACTCCGCAGCTTAGAGGGAACATTGCTTCAAGGTGCTGTTACTTACCCTATATGGCCACGGTCCGACATACCTGAGGGACCGCCTTTCCCCATATATACTCTAGAGAGCACTGCGGTGGGGGTCACAACATCATTTAATCACTCCAGGCCCTAAGGATGCCAGGCTCACTGCTACTAGGGCCAGGTCCTTTTCAGTGGCGACTCCTACCTGGTGGAATGAGCTCCCGGAGAAGATCAGGGCCCTGCGGGACCTTGTACAGTTCCACAGGGCCTGCAAGACGGAGCTCTTCCACTGGGCTTTCAACTAGGAGCCGCCCACCACTACCACCAACTAGTATTATCATCAACATTGTGATAATAGGTTGGCCCTTCATTGAGATCGAGTCACAGCTTTGCGGGTGGCCGGTATACTGCTGGACCGGGTTTTTAGTATTACAACTTATAGTACGCCATCTCTAACTGAATGACCATTATTGCGAGCACTTTAATTGTGTACTGTATGATTGTTTTATTCTTGTTTTATATGACTAGGCACATGTTGCTGCTAACTGTGAGCCGCCCTGAACCCATTCGCGGGGAGGGCGGGATATAAATCTAACTAAAAATAATAATAATCACAGCATATTTTGAGTTGGATCCAGCAGTAATTTTCTGCCAGTGTGTGTGAGTTTTGCCAGTTCTACCATCCTCCCAAGTTGCCCCAGTGGCATTCTTGATGGTTTCCTAATCACGAAGGCCAACATTTTAGGCTGTAGCAAAAGTGGGAAGGCAGGACAGGAATGTTCAATTCTGCTGATATGTCTTTACTTAGTGACAAATTATCACTGCATCTAACCCTTTAAGAGTTTTGCTTGTATAATCTGCAAATATAATTCTGAAGTCATGTGTTTATATTTAAAGGAAAAAAGAATGTGACATTCGAATCCAGTTACCTCAAGTTTCCAAAGAACACTGTAAAATTGAAGTCAATGAGAATAAAGAGGTATGAATTCATTTTATTTACTTTATTTATAGCCCACTTTTGTCACTGAACTCAAGGTGTATTCCAAAATATTTAGCGAAATATTTAATGTATATTACATATAAAATATTAAATGATGCAATCAGACAGCATAAGAAGTTCAATAAACAATGCAATAGGACAGAACTTTGATAAATTTTCTTAAGCTCTAGGAGCCCACCAATACTAATTTTTAAGCCTTATATTTTAATGACAGTATTTTTTTATTGCTGCCATGGTCTCTCTTAATTTTGTTCAAGCTATGACAAAACTGCTATAGTATATAAATATGGGAATAACCTTGTTTGTCATCACAACAAAGACCTAACTTCTCATCTTCTCATGATTTTGTTACTGCGTTAGGAAGAATTAGAGCTGATGGAGAAAGCAGCTGTTACTTAATCTACTACCACTGAATGTTGTAAAGTTAATATACAAATAAGCAATGATAAGAGATAAGAACTTTATGCACATGAATGTTTCTGTTTTAGGCAAAATGTTTTGTGGTGAAATGATAGATAAGCTTGGACTTTCATTGAATTGCCAAGAGACAGTATAGTAAAATCATTGCTGAAAATACCATGTGGCATGGCAATTTGGTGCCTGGGATTTGTTGAGCCCTGCTATAGGACTAGGTTTATAAAATTAGAAAATAATGCAGAGGAAAAACAGTATGACATGAACTATGCTGAAAATAGAATTACAGAAATAAATATCAGGTAATTTATACAATCAACAATGGAATAGACAATAAGCTTATTCTCTTTATAAATGCATCCTTGTTATCTGTTCCTTTATACTATAGCCCTGTTCCCTGCTCTTCCAAACTGTTTTATGCTGTCTCTGAAATGATAGAAGTGACCTGACCTCATGCAGACCATTCCACAAAGTGGGAATCCAGCGCAAAATGCACATCTATGTCTATCTTACCCATTTGCAGGGTGGCACCTTCAGTGGACTTTGCTCAGATGAGCAAAGCTGTCAGAGTTGGTCCTGCAGATATGTGGCCGGGGGGAAGGGGGTTAGTTTTTGATTTATCTGCCTTCTAACAGTTCTTATTAATTGACTGTGGTGCATATTTTTTATCCATTTTAGGCAGTATTGATTAACTTAAGTACTGTGAATCCTACACAACTGAATGGGAGTAACTTTCAGCAACCTATATACTTAAAACATGGAGATGTACTGACTATTATTGATCGTTCTTTCAGGTAGGTAACATTGATATAAACCACTATGGGTCTTTATATGAAAGAAACTTTCCCATTACATTATCTGAGTTGTCTTATGCCAGGGCTCTCCTGGGTGCTACTGGGTTCCCTTCCCCCATTTTCACTGTGTTCATGCCCTCATGATCCAGTCTTTCTCAGTAAGAAAAAAATGTGAACTATTTTAAAGGAGGAATAACAATAAGGCTGAGAGTGTAGACAAACAAACAACCCTCAGTCTGTGTCAGGATGCCTTCTTATGTTCTTGACCAGCACATGAAGCTACTTATTTACAAAAGCTTGCAATGCCCAGCCATTTCAATGCCCCTGGGTCCTGGGCTCAGAACACTGAGCATGAGATTTCTGTAATGAATGTCAGTAAATCAAAAGTAGGTTTGCAGCTTACAGATACACACCTGAACAGCATACTGAAGATTGCTACAGCACAGACATTTTGATGCAGTAATTCAGAGCAAAAGGTGTCAGTTATTAGACTGTTAAATAGACAAAATATTGCAAGAGTGCTAGTGTTTTAAGCATGTTTTATTTAAAGTTTAATTTTTTAAATTTGTGTTTGTTTGTGTCCGTTATAAAGTTTATATCTCTGCTACCTGGCATTACATTCTATGACACGTGGCCCAGCACAACAAGGTCTCATTTATGTCAGATCCAGCCCTCTGATGAGTTCGACATCCCTGCTTTAGCTGGTGGTGCTATGGAAGGGACCAATAAATAATAATAAAGCAACTTGACTGTATAAATAAGCAACACACCAAATATTGAGAATTAAGTTGAATTTTGAAAGGGTTATAAGATACTTGGGTTGATTGATTTAGCTGTCTTTCAATAAATTTCTCTCCCAGTTTTTTATCACTAAGCAAATATTGATATCAGGTAAGAATCAAGTGGCATTTAATATAGAACAAACACTTGTGGAGTTGGAATCGAGTGAAAAAAATTATATGACTTGGACACTCAAATGTCTTTATATTGCAACAATTTTGTTTTGCTATTCTAAATGTAGGATGACCCAAGCTTTCCTTCCTGTGTTTTAACAGGTTTGAATATCCACCGGCACCACCTGCAAGGAAAAAGATTTCCACTTCCAGATCTGAAGAAAAGGAAACTTTGCAGGTGATTCCATGTTAATAATTATTGCTTTGACACCTTGTTGAATTGAAGGAGATCATCTTGTGAAATAAGACATCGTAACAGTGGCAATTGCATATTTGTTAACCAATTATTCTCAATATTTAGCTTGATTTAGAAGCAAAAATACATTTAACTTCATGCTCGACTTCAAAGAAGGAAAGAAACAACGCAAAACTTAAACAGTGTTCTGCTTTTCCAGTACGTGATGTGAAGGATACTCTGGTCACTGATTAAGCAAGGGCTGCAGTTCAAGTAAAAAAGAAGTTAGAATTTCTTCCTGCAGAAGTGTCTATATATCTAATTCTCAACAGTCCCCTCTGCATATTTCCGCAGATAGGGGGCACATTTTCCCCCAACAGGTTTTTTTATATACTCAGGGGACTTCCTGGGTCTGCAGAAAAATCCAAAAGGGGGGGGAACCCCTCAGGGAGAGTTGAATTCCCTCCAATACATTTTGAAATGACCTCCGCAGGGATCTACTCCAGGCCCCACTGCATCAGCAGTGAGAGATAGACAGAGTGAGTGATAGAGAGGGCAGGAAGCTAAAGCAGGACTGGAGTGCTTGGATTGGGAAGGATTCCTCCTGTAGTATGAATAGCTACATAGCAGGGGGTTTGGAGCCAGAACTGGAACTAGGCCCACTCCAGTTTGGGAAATTCCTGGAGATTCTGTGGTGAAGTCTGAGGAGTGCAGAGATTGGGGAGGGGAGAGGCCTCAGCTGGATATAATGCCAGAGTCGACCCATTTTCTCCTGGGGGACAGATCTCTTGGTTTCAGTTGTAATTCTGGGGGGTCTCCAGGCTCCACCTGGAGGTTGGCAAGCCTAGGCCTAGCAGCACCCTGTGTGTGACTTGATACCACCTGACTTGCATGATTCAACTAGGCCTGGCTGTTTACTACTGCTCAACAGCAGCCACCCTATGAAAGTCAGTGTAGTATAACGGTCAGAGCTTCAAAGTAAGGCTTGTGAGACCCAGGTTTAGATCCCCATCTTGCTGTGGAAACTCACTGGGTGATTTTGGACCAGTCACATACTTTCAGCCTAATCTACCTCATAGGGTTGTTGTGTGGATAAAAAGGAGAGAATATTTATTTATTTATTCTGGGATTTATATCCCGCCCTACCCGTACGGCTCAGGGCGGCAAACAAGCGGCAAGCGCCGAGAGTAAAACACGTTACGTTAATACATCAATTAAAATGGTGCTCTACAGTTCAAATTTAAGAAAGTTCAAGATGATGTAAACTGCTTTAGTCCCCACTGTGGAGAATGACCATAGGTTTCGTCAGTAGAGGCTGCAGGGGGAAAGGAGATGGAAAGCTGAAGGCAGAGGGATAGATGAAGGTAGGTTGGCTGTTGGGTGGGAAGGAGAGGGAGCCCAGGAGAGTGACAGGGGCAGAAAGAATAAGGGGATTGGGGCAGAAAGGAAATGACAGGCATGGAGGGGGGAGAGAGAGAATAAGAAAAGGGGTAGCAGGAAGGAGAAACAGTGTATGATAAGTAGGGAGGAGAAAAAGCAGAGGTGGTGGGGATGGGATAGCTGCTCCTGCAAGTTTCTTGTTCTGTACAATTGTGGCAATTTATTCCATGCACATAATGTCAGTATTCACTGAATCATTGTTAATGGTAGTGTGCCCTTCTCAGAAGTATTTACTATGGATGTATACTTGGCACAGACTTTTTACTGGGATGTTCATCTCTAAGATATTTGTAGAACTTAATTAGGTTTGAAAATTGTTAGCACTCTAGGGAAAATTTTTGTTGTGGATAGTACACTGAAATGGAGGCTTCAGTTATTCCAAAGAGGAACTGATGGACACTTGTTTTGTAAAAATATTTTTATAACTCTTTAACAAGACAGAATTTCAAAACCTGTGTTAAATGCTCTGATATAATGCTGTTTACATTTACAGGTTCTTCATGTTC